AAATAATAATAAAATAAATTATAGTAATGGAGTTAGTAAAATTAGTATAGTAAAGTTTCCCCAAAACTTTGTCTTCAAAATAAGGGTGCGTCTTATACACCGGTGCGTCTTATATTCCGAAAAATACGGTAATTTTAATTATCTACACTACTCTTACTATAAGACAGTTTAAAAACTCCAAAGGCATTTTATCTGATGTAGTTTAATAATTTACACAGGCCTAAGAATCATACAGTTTAAGGCCTAACAAAAACGTTTTGACTACGCTAGTTTTTCTTACTTCTTCGCGTCTAACCCTCAGACAGTATAAAACTGGCAAATAGATCCTATCTGTACAAGCCTCATTAATCTCTATACTCGTGAGAAATAGACAGTTAATTTAAGTTTGACAAAAAAATGTGTACTTGAGGCAATTTGAGTAATTAGCATAGATCAAAGTATGATGAGGAAAAGTTTCATAAATTTATTCGCATGGAATTACTGAAGTATCTATAAAAGCAAATATATAATTTCAATAAAGACATGTAATTGTTCGAAACAGTAAACATTTAATCAAAACATTCAAACACTAATTGAAAACATAACAACATTACATAAGTAAAGTCAGTTATTTTCTAATTTTATATGTTACCAAACATTAATTGGATTAATTAACTATTTTTTTTCCTAGTTTAATTTTTTAACAATCTTCAATTGGCAAAAAGACATTTTCTCGTGAGTACACTGAAGTAAAGTACCTTGTTACGGTACTTTTTCTGCTGCCATTAAAGTAATATTGCGTTGATCTTGATACTTTAAATGTCTCGATAATGGAAATAATAAAGGAAAAATACAAGAAATACAGCCCCCTCTTAATGGCAAAGTGGTATGTCTGCGGACTTACAATGCTAGAATCCGGGTTTCGATACCCGTGGTGGATAGAGCACAGATAGCCTATTGTGTAGCTTTGTGCTTACTTACAAACAACAACAACAGTTTTTGACAGTACACATTGTTTTCGTGTTATAATAAAGATTAACAATGTGTGGTTGTGGAATACAGTTCTAATTTTCCTGTATTACTCCCCAAAATTCAGCCAAGTGATTTGGTCGTCTCTTGGACCTTAACAATTTATACACAAGCCCACACAGCCTCAAGGATGTTCATAATGAAACTTTGTGCAGGTAAAGTCATGGTTGCTGAGGTTCTATTGACTTCTTTGCCGTCAAGGTATCGCTTCATCACCTCATTTTCTTGGTGAAGGATGAATCATATTCCTGCGGAAATCATATAATGGGTCAATCTCCATGTATTTGTTAGCAATCAGGATGCCACCAATTTTGTGTAGAACCACCGATACCATTGTCCGAGATGCAAGCCCAAACTTGTACTAATCCCCCACAATGCTCCACTGTATATATGGTACATTGACTATGATACTCTTCATATCTCCGAAGTCGAACAAATTGTTGATAAACAGTTTAAACTTGGATGCATCTCTAAAACGCATGTCTCCAACTATACTTATTCCACTGTTGCTAATTTCAACCTTTATGCTTGGTTATCTCTTCTCAATAGTGGTCTTGGTCTTCGGTAGCTTACACATCCAATGAATCTTACATACAGGTGCTATTAAAATATGAAGTATTGCCGCAATTATTCTATTTGCTTGGAGTATTCTTCTTCCGCCAATTCTTTAAATTCTATTCGTTTGTCATGTGACATTTTTCTGCTGGGTGCCATAACTGGATTAATCCTTCTAAAATTATTGGGCAATTTATAAAACTACATTTTCATAAGCTTTGATCTGATAGGCAGTTTCAATTTCGCGAGCAATGAGCGAGTCACACTTCTACTACTGAACATAGAAGAAGATGATGAAATTTGGCAGGTTTTTTTATTCAAGAGTTTACTAGAAACCTCGGGAAACAACTGGGGGCGCTCAGAAATGGGTGTTTCTCTTCGCCTCCCACCTGGTAACAGAGTAGGACGGCACTTGGAAGATTGTGAAATTTGGCATAAGTGAAAGATGTTGAATTTGGCTGGTACGTGATTGATTTAGCTTGTAGATGTCAATTTGGAAGAAGATCGGAGAAGGTGTGAATGCTCGAATATCATCTTATCTTACGCGAGAATAAAACAACGGCCCTTATCGGAGTTATGATTCTTCAGGGATACGGGGATCTATAAATCCCATGCCTGGAAATTTTGATGTGGGGGTGGGGAGAAACAGGAATACCCCAATAAAACTCACTTTCACTGGTCAGGCGACGAATATTCTACCTGCCCAGTGCCCGATGACATCAGAACAAGAATAATACAACGTGAAGATAAAATTGAAGGAAGGAGTGATAGGCGTAAGAGATAAATATCAACTTAGTTTGACTAAGGCCATAAGGTCTTCTTATAGAGGAGACGTCTGAATGGTGCTTGCCGACTGAAGGAGAATCGTCGATGGAGGAAGGACGTCTGAACACGAAGGATGTGCCACGTGTCTCGTTGGTAGGTTCGTGACTTAGAGGCGGAGGATCGAAGAAACTGCTATACGGCCATGGTAGTTTGGGTGAACATCAGCTTGGTTTCCTTTGTGTTTTGTAGCTGTACGGGTTTAGGTTTGTTGGTCTAGTGTGGTTGGGTTGTCGTTGGTCTTCGCGGGTTAATGTATGATGGGTCTGCGTCATCGTTTCCATTGCTTTCCTCTTGTTTATGTTTGTAGTCTGTGTGTGTTGATCTTTATTTGCTTGGGTTACAACAGTAGGAGTCTGGGTTTCTTGATCAGTGTCGGGTTTGTGTGGTGGTAACGTGGATATTGTGTGGACCGCTTACTTAGGGTGGTCGCTGGAAGATGTAGTTTATGGTGAGGTTTTCGGCTTTGAAATCAAAGAAGTAAAACAAGCATCCGTGTGAAAGAATTTAGTTAACAGTTTTTGCTGTTATTGTTTTTTTTTTCAAGTGGGGACAACTTTCATGAAGTGAGACGGTCTTTCTGTTTTCTAGAAACAATTTGGTGAACTGCATGTATGGTGGTGGTGTGTGTGTGTGTACTCTGCTCTAATGCTTGATGTATTTCTTCTGTGGAGATAGATGGGTCAACATTTCCTAGAAAGACAATGTGTAGATTGGCACTATTCTTGGAAGGTTGGCATTTTACTGGTGGGTTGGAGTTCCAAAGTTGTCACATATAGCTAAGGTCTTTAGGCGAATTTGGTTATAGAAGAAAATTCCTTTTTCTCGTAGGTTTATCGTATTTTATAAAACTACATATTGAAAGTAGTGCGCAAGAAGCTTGTTGAGGATTTATACACTTCCCAGGACTTTTCTCTCTTGTCTCATCCTTAAATAATTATTGAAATTCGCTACAAAATGATCAATTTTCAACTCGATGGCGCAAACTATAATCAAATATATAGCGTAACCATGGGTAACAGATTTGCCCCTGTGCTTTGTAATTACTTCTGCCACCGAAGGTCGATGGAGGTTCTTTTTACCCCTTTGTGTGTATGTGTTTGTCAGCAATATTTCTCAAAAATGACTGAACAGATTTAGACGAAAGTAGGTATACACTTTGACTATAACCCAACTTAGGAGTGCTTAGTTTTTGGAGGGTCAAACTCAAAGGTCAAGGTCACGAAAATCCAAACAATCTCGATCTGTTAACATGGGACCGATACTTTCACACTATATTTGCTCTATAACTCAATCAAAAATGATGGGATTTTGATGAATCTTGGTGAACAAATGTAGAATATTATTCTTCACTGTCCTGCCAAAAATGATCCATGTCACTTGATAACGACGGACATATGGACACATTTTCGTATTTTTTGAGAGTCGAATATGATCAACGCTGCGTGGCGGAGGTATTCGTTCTACTAAGTGCCCCTCTATTTCATTTTTGATTCCCTTTTATATAGTGGCTACGACACGTTGGTGGTGTATTTATAAGGTTTGTCCTATCCACAACAAGCCTTACATTTTGGAGTAAGACTTAACAAACAATGACATCTATAAAAATTAACAAAAAAAAATAGAAAACTTTATTATTTCCCACCGTCTTTATATATTGATCAGATCAAGGCTTTTCCACGAGTTTTTATTGAAAGGCCACCAATACCAATCTCTATATCTCTTGGAATGAAACTCATCTCATCTATCAAAAAACAGGCATTTTAAACACTTTAATTTTTAATGCTACAACCATTTTCAATTCCCAAAATATTTTGAATTCGGAATTCAAACTTTTAACGTTCTGTTTTCTTTACACGAACAAAATTCCTACACTATCATCAAAAACACGAACATAACCATTGGGATTCGCAGATAACTTTACTTTAAGCAATGGCTCAATACTTATATTTTATCCTAAATTTACCGCGTTAGTAGTGCTGTTTAAAAATACAAATGCCAGGACTGTACACCATGCTACATAATTGAAACAGGGTAAACTCAATACCAGCATAAACAAGCACAATCGTAGAACTTCTTACATCTTCCAACATAAATAGGACTCTGGTCACAACATTTCATCTTATTATTTTCAAGTAATTTTTAAGGATACAACAACTGTAAAAGAAAAGTCAAGGAAGTCCCTTTAATATGAAATAAAAAACCTTTATAAACCCTTATACTGGTTCACCAACATATATATATATATTCATCAATGATATTTCAGCTGCTTTATGATTGGCTAATTTAAACTGTTATATTTTCAACTGTAATTTTATAATTCTCATTAGTACGTTGTGCCAGATGATGACAAGTAAACTTGTCGAAACGTTGTAATTTGTCTTTTTCTTGTTTTTATCGTCCGTTACAGTTGATCTATAACTTTATATATTGACTTTACAATATGGGATTTCTTGTTATTATCCAGAAACATAATTTGAAAATAATTTTAAGTCGTATGGTGTATTGCTGGTCTTAAAAGTGGGCTAACTCCAAATTTTTGTTAATAGCTTTGTATCACAAATATTATATTCATCATATTGCAAGAACGTTTATTCATTATATATATATTACAGAATTTTAGCATCTTTCGAGAGCAGCCTCAACATACAAATGCAGCTTCTGGCATCATAGCAACAGCCTCATCTGTAACCGCACGCCAGTCTACTGAACCAACCACAAAGATGGCTTCAAGCTCAACATCGGGTAACAACAGTGTAGGTCACATCCACGTGCGGTTATCTCTTCCAGATGTGCACGTGCCAGAAGAAACGGTCTTTCCTTCTCAGTCAAGCTACTCCTTACCCACCGTTAGGAAGCGTTCACCCATCGTGAGTCGAGCTAGATCTGTTGATGCTCGTGCCATGTCACATATGCCACTTTTGTCCATTTCTAGCAGATTCGATAGTCAGCAGTCAGAAACATTCAGCGAAACTCGCACCCCCGTGTCTCCACATCAATGTCCCTCCTTATCGGTCACACTGTCACCATTACGAGATATCTCTTTGCGACCTTCATCTCCCACCCAAGGAGGGCGATCACGATCTCTGTCTCCAGTGTCACCATTATTGTCTCCAGCTTATTTCCAAGGCTCAGACTCGTCTAGCAGTGCCGGGCCTATAAGCCCCATAGGTATTGTTTTATGATTCATAAAATTTTGTCATTTTTCTGGACATAATTATTAAAAGACGAATATGATTATTAACTGTGTGAGATTTGATGTAACCACTTGTATTTTGTCTTGTCTTTCTTAATGAACAGGTGAATCCTGAAAAAAACGTAGCATACAGTGATATGCACCCAAGATTCAGAACTCGATACCTGGTAGCTGTGCTATAAGCTTTTGATGCTCTGTGTGTGTGCGTGTTTTCTTTCTTACGAGGGTATTCAGGGATCATTATACGGTGGCCATGGTGTACACTTTTTGATTCTGTGCCTCTTTTAGACAGGTATTCAGAGCTCAGTATAGTGGCTATATTGCACACACTATTCATCTGTGGCTAAATGTAGTGAACATATTCAGATTTAATTATACCACCTATACTCTAAGAGCTTTGGTACTGTGATTCCATTTTATGAAGTTTACTCAGATTTAACTATATTGTACTAATACTGAACAATTTTGGCTTCTGTGAGCATTATTGTGAAGGTATGTACTAGAAATGTAAATTGTTTAATTTTGCCTACTTCAAAACAATGAATAGTATGAGTCTTTTTCTTCGTACCACATATTTCGTTTCAATTAAATCTATCTTTATGGCTTAAGTGTAAGCTTGTGGGCTTTGGATGCAAAAGTAAAGCCAATCTTTCTTTTCAGTTATTTGTGTTTATGCAAATCAAGCATCTGTTGATTTATCATGCGATATGAAATGAAAAAAAAATATTGGCTATTTAATCTATACTTGTAAATGAACTTTTGGTAAAAATGATTTTTACATCTATACATTTCGTACATTTCGCTGTATTATGGACAGTGGTCACTACGAACAGCAAAAAGAGCCTGACATCAATGTTTCGTGCTCAAAATTAATGATGTTCATATGGTCCTGAAGTATCTCCAATCACTTCTTTGAAAAAGTTGTTTAGAACACATCTAGTGTCTGGAGACATTTGACAAAATGCGAAGTATCTTCTAAGAGCATTCTATAGGTGCTCAATGAGAACGAAATCCAGTGAACATACAGGTTACTCCATTCAGCCAATTCTCTTTGATCAGATTAGCATTTTGGATGTGGGTGTTATCACCTATTAGACTGAAGTCAAAGCCAATTGCACTAGCACATAGGATCTTAGGATGTGATTACTTTAATGTATGTCATTAATCATACCATTTCACAGGATATAGAATTCGGTACATCTGACAGTGCTTATTACTGCCCAATCCATATTTACATCGTCATATGCATAACGTTCCTGTACGGAAATGGAGTTGGATCTTGTTCTCAATTCTCTTCAAATGGGTATACGTAAGCTATATAGCTGTAGGATAAAGCGCAACTCTTCTATAAAAGAATATTGCTCTGGATGTTGTCGAAGTGCTTTTGGCACCATTACAAACGAGTTGGTTTGTGTCTTGCTAGGAGCGGATTCACCTCAATAGACGCATGACATCAGGTCGGCCTTCTAAAGTCTGTTTCTAAATATCTGTACACTGACACGGTGACAAGTTTAGTTCAGGTATCGTAATGCACACTGGTAAGTAAGCATGTTTACTGAAGAGAAACATCCGGTATCCAGGGAAAATTATTCATTTCCTCAACGTTTCACCTTATGGCTTTATCGATAGTTACTGAACACAAGCCTAGTCTTAAGAGGACAAAACAGCTGGTGTAATTCAAAATAATAACCATGTATTCTTATGTATCATCTGACATTTGATCATATTATCAACAATAAGAACGTAAAAAGTAATAAATGTATGATAAGAATAGCAAAATGGTGAATAATATTAATTTAAAAGCGAAAACAACTAGATCAGTGATGTAAACATTCACATCTAATAAATATGAAGAGTTAAACTGTAAATGTAGTTTTAACCACAAACATGTATATATGTATACTATGCTTAGAAAACTAGAAATCCACTACTTTAAAGTGGCCATTATCTATCTTTGTTGACTGAAGGTATCTCAGTTCTAATGAAAAAAGACTCCTTGTACTTTCTATCTAGGACACTGTGGCTTTTCCCATTTTGATGCTAAGATGTTGATGAGATTTTACCAATCCATGCTCATTAATAAAATGTGATGCAACCACACTCTTGTCAATCTCATCCATCATTGTAGTACTGATACATCCCATGGAACGCTATTGTAAGGGTCTCTCAGTTGCATCAATGCATTTTTGTCACAACTATCACATGAAATACTGGTTAACAAATCTTTCAGGATAATTACTAGATTTCAAAATTTCCCAGATATCTATCCTCGCATCTGCTAGTCATCAGGATTGTTACAAATAGGTGAAAGTCTCATTAACTGGCTAAAAATCATAGTCCTCTTCATGGCCCTCAGGTAACAAGAGAGAGATAATATAGAAGTAGCAACGTTTTTCCTTTTTTTTATACGTTACTAACAACCTTACCATCCAATATAGCCGCAGACATTTTGAGAGATAAAGAACTTTCACTGTTTCTATTCATTAAACGGTGACCAGTTACGGCTACAAAGATTTGGCTCATCCTGGAAGCAGGTACCCTATGAATGTGAAAAACCGAAAGCAATATATAGCGGTCATCTGCTTGCGTTATACACGATAATGTGCATTGTCCATTGTGTTCAAGCACACATACCATTGGTTTCGAAGCAGATTCAAATTTTGTTATCGACGATCTGAGACATTTATTGCCTATTCACAGGAAGCGGCGGTGATTGGTCAGTTTACATTCGTCAGTAGACTCGCCATATGAATGAAACATCTACATATGACCTAGCCATATTTCGTGAAGAATATGAAACACTTTAAGTTCTGCAATCACTTTAAAATGACATGTAAAAATAAGGACTACATAGGCATTTTTGATGAATAACCTTCACATGCTTGATTCGTTTGAAAACATACTTATGGATTTTTGACATTATTCTATAACAATGGTTTTGTCTCATAGCCCCTTGTGGCTCAACGATAAGGCTAAAGGCTTATCACGCTAAAAATCGGGTTTGGATGCCAGCAGTGGCCACAAAACAGATAGCCCATTATGCAACTTTGCACTTAACAACAAACAAATAAAAGCCTTGTCATAATTATAAGATATTAAAAAGTTCGATTTTCATCCTTTTTTATGCTATGTTATTCTGTAAACTTGGTTTTTTTTAGTTGCAAAATGATATTTAATGCTCGACTCACTCAAAATTAATATTGCTGTCGATTTGTTCTTAAGTTTGCGAGCTACTAACGATCTTTCGGGGAAAGTAAATTTGACATACCTGCATGGTTGTGCTGGCTGTTAAGTACTGTAGCTGTAGTTTTAATCGTTTAGTGCGTTCGTTTCCCTTTAATTAATTGTTTTTTCTTTTAAGTTAGATCATGAAATTGTCTTTAATATATATTTTTTTTTTACTAGGGGCAATTCAACCTGACTTATACAAAAAGAAAGATATGGTGTTTTTCCAGTCTTCGGACAGCCAGGACAAGGCTAAATATGGACGACTCCACTTTCGACTAAAGTATGATTTCGATAGATCAGACCTCGTTGTTCATGTCATTGAAGGTAATGTCAAAGGATTATATCTGTTAAACCTGTTTCACGCCTCGAATGCTCTAGCCTATTACTTCTAGCGCCATCTATTGATAAATAAAGTATGTAGCCCTTATTTTTTTTAAGTGTTGTAAAATTGATCAGTAGGTTCAGTCACTGACTTTATTATTATTATTATTTTTTGGTTGTTTGTTAATCACTTTATCTTAACATGATAATTAAAACTGACAATTCTGTGTAAATAGAGAATTGTATTCTTTAAAATGAGATTTTTATGTCCCATGCGTGAAAGTCAATGTGAGCGCAGACTTGCTATAGCTAAAACAGCATAATAAAATTAAAATATATTTTGTTATCTTTATTGCTGTAATTATTAACTGAAACCTTACAACTTCATGCCGGTTTAATAAACATTTTTATCACAAACACATTAACAAAATTCTTCAGATCTTGTCTAAACTCAACTCACTAAAGATGCATAACTAGTTATACATAAAATATTTTAAGAGGAAATTTTGACAATCATTGCTTAGGTTATTGTATATACAATTCTATATACGTTTGATGTTGTGGCTTTCGAACTTGTCTTCCAATAAATAGTATCTAGCAATTAAATCCGTTGGAGTAGCTGGTATTTACGAAAACATAAACGTATAGTTAGAACTTTCAACTTTGTTTTATGTCAGAAAATTCTGGTCGATTTGGATTAGATTATGGGAACAAACAGGGCTAGTAATTCTAATATGAAACGTATTTATACCAGTAAACAGGTACTAAAAAACCCTGACTACTAGAACTTTATTGAAAGCTAAATAGCCCCAAACGTTCTTTCGCTCTGAAAAAGTAGAAAGGTGTGTGTATGAAAAAAATGTTTACTAGCTTGTTTCTTGCACCTAAACAAAAGGTATAAAATCACTGATTGACATACTCTATTACCTACCTAGTTGACTTAGTGAGAACTGATATAGTGTGAATTATACGCTGGACGTTGGTATAGAAAGTAATCAGTGTATTAAAACAAAGATTCATAGCACAGGATATACCACATCAAGGGCAAGAAATTCACGTGCTAGCCCTGGTTAGAAAACTAGAAATTTTAAACACTCTTTGCCTGCGAAAGATTCTGTACAAAAAAGTTTATATTGGTTCCAGTAATTATTAATCCGTGCATTAGTTTTTATTATTATTTTTTTACAGTGTCTTATTTGTAGCATACAATGAATATGGAATGCTGTATGGCTGATGCAAACCACGTGATGGGTTGTATACGTTCGTATCTCTTTCTATTGAAATGTACACCTCTAACATGTCATTAGAAGAGTCTGAGTTTAGTGATATTTGAGAATCCTTCTACTTTTCCAGTGTAAATCATATCTACTTTACGATAGATAATATTTACATAGTTACATTATTCTAGGCAAAGTGAAACTTCGGAACAACTCGAAACTAAATGTATGTATGATTCAAATTGTACTATAAAGATACCTAGTCAGGCCTTGTTTGTAATTCTAATATACAGAGTAGCTAGGGTTTCTGAAGTTAACGTACTGGTAGATAAGTAACATTTGTAACATTGGTTTTCAGTGAGGCAGTGTTAAAGTTAAAACACGTATCTCTACTTGCTGTTATTCCTCCGCAGGGTTAACAAAACTGTTTACGAGTTATATCCATCTATCTATTACTACATTTACATGTCTATATATTAGACACAGTTTCTGAGATAAACATGTGTATTTAAAACACTACTGTTGTTGCGTATACTGGAATGGACGGCAACTGCCTGAAGACGGAAGACTTTCGAAACGTCGTCCTCTACAGTTGTGTTTTTTACACAGGCAGTTACCGTCCATTCCAGTTCACTCATCATGAATTCTATTCCTAAACAACCTATCAAAGACTGCAGTTGTTCTAAATTATTTTTGATAGTCATTTTTCTTCTATATTGTTTCTGATTAATAAGATATTTTTATAAAATGAAACAAATATTTGTGTTTGGGATCAGAAATGTAGGCTTAGTTTGGAGATTATATAATTAAACATTTTTTAGTACATTATACTGAACAGGAAGTTCTTCTTGTGCTGAGTAAAGTTATCTTATTTTTAGCAACTAATATCCGAACCCAGTAATGACAGGACCAGTAATTGAAACGAGATTGAATTCTGACATAGTTTTAATTAAACAAAACCGATTTGCAGGCCAACTGACAGACCTAATTTCTCATGTTGAAAGGATGACTAAAAATACCTTACTTACATCCAAATCATCTCCTTTGTGTGTGGTTAAAATTGAGGTTCTGACCGTTTTTACACAAGGAATATATCTGTCACATTAAAAATTTGTCTTAATATTTTCATTTGAATAAAAACAGTTAGCAAGGCTGAAGAAATACAATCTACTGGGAACGTGTCAAAGGCCATGTCATAGCGTTTGTTGACTTGCATTCAAAATTTCATTCAACTACTTTTTATGAATCTATGTCGATATGTTTGGTGTCAAATTGTAGATTATAATTATAGTATTATACGTTAGTTAATTTCTTAATTTAAGAGTAAATAAAAAAAAACATAGCTAAACATCGATTTTTGTGTATCACGTGGTATGTTGAATGCAGCACTGGTTCTTTCCTTTTTTGGAAACGGTCCTTATATACACTTACTTTTATATATGACATGAATAGCCAATCAAAAGCTCAAAATGTCCCCATAGTGGTTTTCTCAGCCATTTTTGACGTGTTATGGTACTAATTTCGTTCTTTTCACACAAGATTTCCAACGATTAAGTAAGTGTTTAGTGAGCTAAAAATTTCATATTTTTAAAGACCTAAATACAGCTTAGTTACTGTGCTTGATAAATTATAGTGGAATTCTGTGATATGGATATAGTGATTTATTATTTTTGGTTATTTAAAATGTATATGTAAAACAAAAAAAAATTCTTTTCACATCCTTCACGTGGGAAATTTCATAAGGCTTAGCAACCTACGACAAGCGGCAAACGAGTACAAAGGTTGTAACTAGAAGAGATAATTTTTTGCTTTGCTTCTTTATTTACTGTTCTATGTTTTAAGAAACATAACTTTAAGAAATTATTTGTAAATGGTAATACTGTATATACATATACAATGTATAATAATTGAAATGTGACTGTATTTTACAAAATAGTAGTCTACTAAAACACAGCCAAGACAGGTCACTTTGTAAAAACTAAAGGTCAGTTATATATTATTGGATACAGTAACACGAGTTCACGTGCGCCGCGTCATTGTAGCTTCTGTTATTGTTAGCCAGACACGGCTGGAAGCTCAATATGATAAAAATAATAAATAAATAAATATATATATAATATTATGAGATTTAAGCTATTTAGACTAAAAATTTGTGTTTTTGTGTTATAATCTCTAGTCATTCTAGAACGAAAAAAGTATCATTTATATTTCTTTCATAATTTTTATTGAGGTTACCAAGTCGGTGAAATCGAACCAACCCATACAGAAATACAGTATTGGAAATAACAAATAAAATATAAAGTTTTTTATAAAACAAATTTGATAATCATCTGGGGGATATAAATATTTCGCTTGCGAAATTTGAAAATGTTCTAATGCATTAAAGTATGTTTAATTTTAAAATCAAAATTGCTTTGCACATTGGATAGTCAACATTCTAAAAGAAAAAGTTTAGAAGAAAATTGTTAATTAAAAAAATCTTAGTAGTTAATTTAAAAATCTGATATTTTGTGTACAAAAACCATGTAATGTTTACCAATAGCCTGCAAAATTTTGTAAATATCTGCAAACATTATCAAAAAATCATAGTATAATTACTCTCATGGATACTTTCGTAGTTACGAGGTGGGTGGATTCCACCCAGCCCGCAATGGAAGGGATTGATGAATTTTTACATCCTACAAATATTCCTGACGTCTCTAAAAGAAAACGTTACAACGATATTTAAACAGTTATTCTGAAAACAAAAATTGATGGTAGTTTAAAGAAATTAACAATAAATTATAAAGTTTCACTAAAAAAAAAAAGTTCGACGTTCATTTATTAGGTTGTGCAAATAAAATTTTAAAACTGTAAGATGGAAAAAGTTTTTCAATCTTAACATGTAAACAGTTGTTTTCTACTCATACTAGCCAGACTCTGACTATAAATTCACAGACGAATATTTAGTAAAAAACTTAATTACAAAAAATCCTGATTTTCCGTGTACAAAAAACTTGTAATGTTTACTGAAAGCTTGCAAAATATCGTGAAGATACATTACTGCATTAACAGTTATAGTATGTATAGTTTCAACGTTACATTGTGGTTAAAAGTTTGGTCAAAATAACTAAACCCGTATAGAGATGGTTAAAATGCCTTTGATTATTTGTTATTCAGATATAATTGATCCTCTTTCTACCCATTTATTAAAATCACCTGACTTGGTTGTATAGCATAATCATAATCTCTACACTATTTTCGTTACTACCACAGTTGTGCGTATATAGTCCTACTTATTTCCCTGTTGCTCACGTTTTCTTCTATCGCCGTTTACCACTGTATAATCCTGGCTGTGGCTCGTCAAATGTCAGAATTTAAAATATAATTATTTTCGCCAATCGTCAAAATAAAAGGGTGTTTACTTATATTTCTTAATAATATTATAAATATATAAAATGTGGTTTTTGGATTTAGTATTCTTCTATAGAAGGTGTCTATGACTTGTTGACGATAAATTCAACGATAAATAAACAGCACGCACTTCACATGTTTTCAAAATAATATATATATTTGGAACAAGTTAAACGTATGTACAACAAAGTCTTCACACTATAGAGATTACAGGGATATCATAAACACTATTTATATATAGTTCTCTTATTCTTGTCAAAGTCCACTTAGGCCTATTCAATTACTTTAGAATTTCAACTGACAAGCCGAACTATCTTCTTTATTACTATCGCACTAGTATTCTGTGCGTGATTCACTTACAGTTGTGGCGCGAGTTACCGTAATCGTTTGGTCTTCTTTCTTCAAAATATCTTCTGTTCCTTCTGTCAAAGTGCACTCAGGCTGATTCAATTACTTTAGAAGCATGCTTTGACAGAATAAATTCTTCTTCTTATATTTTCTACTGTTAGTCTTTTTCTAGCATATTAAACGTTAGGCCTGTCACTTATACAGTAGTTAACTTCACGCCGAACTTTTCCTTGCCTTAACTTTATACTCTTCTGCTATTGTCTGTCTGCTGTTTCCGCTCGTTCTCACACTATTTATAACTTGTTGAAAGTATCCTTTTGCTGAGCTCAAAGATAAAAAAGGTCTCACTTTATTGTAGTAGCCTCCCAGTGGCACAACGGTATGTCTGTGGACTTACAACGCTAGAATCCGGGTTTCGATACACTTGGTAGGCATAGCACAGATAGCCCATTGTGTAGCTTTGTGTTTAATTACAAACAAATAAACTACTGTAATTAGTATTATGAAACACATATATAAACTGATAACAACATGCAAGCTTTCTGAAAAGTAAACGTATTTAAACGTTATAACATCGGGTTTCAATACACGTGGTGGGCAGAGCACAGAAAGCCCATTGTGTAGCTTTGTGCTTAACTTAAAACAAACAAAACCAATGTTCCAACATTGTCCTGATATAAAAGATTGTTTAGTTTAGATATTATTGATTAGTTCGTATGATTTATATCTAAAAAACAACATATTTCTTATTATGAGCTTCTGAAAAAAGTACTTAAAAACCCAAATTGGTATAATCTTTCGATGACATCTGATGCTGCATTTTCATTTTTAAAATATAATATACATACATATATATATATATGTGTATATATATTCTCTTCATAGCACTGGATTTGGGGGCGATATCCGAAAACGGCTTTAACGACCCCTACGTCAAATTAACTTTAATATCAGAAGTCGATACTAAAGTTAGGCAAACTGAAATTCAGCGCAACTCTTCAGACCCGGTGTTTGATGAAGTTTTCAAGTTTCCGGTTTCGTATGACGACCTCTTGGGAAAAACTCTACTTCTGCAAGTCTTCGACTTCGATAGATTCTCAAGGAATGATGTCACTGGCGAGGTCCGAGTTCAGATGTGTGACGTCGATGTTACTACGGAGGTGGAAGTTTGGAGTGAAATCACTAAAACTGACAAGGTAAATATATATATATATATATATAGATTCCTGAAATGATATAACCTTCTTTTGTTAGAAAAAATAAATGTACCTCAGAATAAATTACACATAACTAGGACAGAATTAGTTTTGAATCTTCATCATCATCATCATCACAGGCAGCAGTACATCGATAATTCTACCGATGCTTAGCTGCCACACAATCATGAATTATTATTACAAGAAATTATTACAAGTTTTGAATCTTACACATATATATATAAATATAACCAGAACGCCTACAAGTTTCTACCTGTGGATACATTTATTACACAATAAATACCACAATACTGAGCTATTCTGTTTATTCTCTTCTTTATTATTTTCAACTGGTTTCGTGACTTCAAAAGGCACTCCTTAGGACGTAATTATACAGAGAATCTGCAGTGAAAATGTAAAGACATAATTTTTCAACTATTTGGTGAAATAGATAATTGAAGACTAATGATGAATTTACATAAGTTTCATGTTAGATTTCCTGAAACAAATCCAGTAGCTACCAGCAAACAGTTTAAGGAATGTATTTAGAGAAATACTAAAATTTTGAAAAAAAAACTATATTTTCACGTGTCCACTTTCTGGGGCATGTGGTATAAAACATAAATGTTTGTAAAATATTTCATAAATTTTTTTGGCTACTTTAAATAGGTGGAAGTAAGAGGGAGAAGTAACAGTACTTGAGTAAGGTTAGTTGGAGTAGGGCAACAGTAAAAAACTAGTACCAGTAATCACAGAAAAGTCAATAAAGTAAGTAAGAAGTATATTTTTGTATTAACTTGTTAGAGATTATGGAGAAAAATGATAAAGGAATATAAAAGAAGTGAAGTTATATTTAAAGAAATTATAAGGTTCATTCATTTTTGAATATATTCTAAAGAACTTACTTTACATAAGAATTGTGTTTTGTGGGTGTAGAATGTATTTAATTTAGGTTATTTGTGTTTATTTATCTATATGTTTTCTCTGTATAATTACATCTTTTGTAGTGACCTTTGAAGTCACAAAAACCGGTAGAAAATAATACAAAATAGAAGAGTTCAGAACTGTGGTACTTTGATGTATATATATATATATATATATATATACTACAATATATATAATGCTATAGAAATACTATTAATTCTACCATAGGTACGGTTAAATACAGACACTAATAAAGACTAATAATAG